ATGAGCTCACCCGAAACTCTGGCTGATTGTGACCCACACCCATTTTCACACCTTGGCTCATGTGATTAGGTAGAGGATCATCAGGGGGTCCTTTTGTCCCTCTTTGGGGGGAAACTCCCACTGGGTTTAAATCTGGGACTCTCCGCCATTTGACCTTAGAACTGAAGAAGCTTCTCGGATGACAGGTGAAATGTCTTCAAGCAACTTAAAGAAGTTCTTTCCAAGCTCCTTAGACTAAGGTATTCACTGATATATTGCCCAAGAATAACTGCTGCTGACCTTGTTGGCTGTCAGTTATTTAGTGACATTTGCAAGTAGCAGTGACTATCGTTCCACTATATGTGTTGTACAAATGTAGCTGCCTTTGGAGTTGAAAACTGATGCCAGCATGGAAGTGCCAAAAACTGCAGTAGTTCCTCCAGTGGCCACTTTAGGCCCACTCCAAAAAGAAGTTAATCCCGAGGGATGTTTTGGCCCTTTTCTAACAATATCTATCAGGCAACTATCGTATAGAGACACCTGGATGCTGGAGTTAGGTTCATGGACTCTTTGACTGACACAGGCAGCTGGACCTGACAGACAGAGGCAATGCTTTCCACCAGGCATGCCAGGCCAAACAAACTTCAAACTACAGCAGTTGCAATGAGCAAAGTTTGCAGTGACACTAGGAGAGGTCTGACCTCGCTAAGGGGGAACCAGACAAGTGTTTCAAATTCTTTTTAAACAAACCTAAAGACAAAAAAGAAAGTCATTCAATAAAAACGAAGTTGTCCCTCACGGAGTGACAAAATACAAAGTAAGTGATGTTTATGTATAAAGTGCTAGCAATATAAAAGTATGGTAGAAGACACAAAAATAAAAAAAGACAATAAAAATATAGTTAATAATAGAATTTCAATAGAAAGCGTGGTTAAACAGAGAAGAATTCAGTTGTCAAAGAGTCAACTAAATGTACCGTAGGGAAAATTTGATTCTCCTGCTGAATTTGTACATTTTGCTTTGAGTTACAAAAAAATGCATGGTTGCTAATTTTTATGGTCATTTTCATCTTAATAGAGGGAGACAGAATATCAACCACAAATCCAGAAAAACACATCACATAAAAGTTATGCATTGATTTGCATGCCATTGACTGAAATAAGTGCCACTCAGAATTCTGCCTCCCACAAATTGCCTGCGTGTCCATGTGGCACACAAATTACATTCAGTCAATTACAGATACTCCTGAACTTAACTCGCTATGTTTAGAAAGCACACCTGCACACAGAATCAGTTTTTTTCTATCCAACTTTGGCTACCAGTACCAAAAAAGCTGTCAAATGACATCAAGGACAAGATTGTAGATCTACACAAGACCATCAGCAAGAAGCTTGTTGAGAAGGTGACAAATGTTGGTGTGATTATGGTGTAATTTTGTAGCCTAACCAGCCTCCAGACCTCAGTCCTAGAGAAAATATGAGGAGGGAGCTGAAGGTCCAAGTTGCCAAGTGGCAGCCAAGAAACCTAAATGATTTGGCGTTTCTGTAAAGAGGAATGGGCCAAAATCCCTCCTGAGATGTGTGCAAACCTGGTGACCTATTACAAAAAATATCTTCCCACTGTGCTTGCCAACAGTAACACATTTTTTGCTTGGGGATCAAATACTCACTTCACTCAGTGACGTGCAAATCAATTTATAACTTTTATGTAATATGTTTTTTTTACTGGATTTTTGATTGATATTCTGTCTCTGTCCATTTAAATAAAACTACGATACAAATTAGAGACTGTTAATTTCTTTGTAAGTGAGCAAACCTTCAAATTCAGCAGATGATCAAATAATTATTTTCCCCACTGCCACTTCCCCACACTCCCCACTTCCACACAAAGTAAAAACTTTATTTATGTAGCACCTTTAAAGATATTGATTACAAAGTGCTGAACAAAAGAAAACAAAAACATCAGACATTAGTATATCAAAATAGTTAATTATAAGCAGTTGTAAAAGTTTTTAGTTGCTTTTAAAAAAGCTGAACAGAGTTTGCAGACCTGAAACTAAAAGGGAGAAAGTTCCAGAGTCCTGGTGCTACAACTGAGAGAAGGCTCTGTCACCTTTAGTTTTTAAGTTTTAGTTTTTACCTCTGCATGTGGCACAGCAGGCTTCAGTCAGATGACCTTAGGGATCTGCTAAGGACATACAGATGTAAAAGTTCTTAGATGTATGCTTGTGCTTGACCATTCAGAGCCCTATGAGTGAGAACCAAAATCTTGACATGTATTCTCGAGTCAATGGGATGCCAATGGAGCTGGGAAAGTAGCAGTGTGACATGAGAAAACTTTGGTGATTTGTTCAGAAGTCTGGCAGCATCTACAAACGGTCCAATGATGCTTTGTGTAGGCTGGTCAATAACGAGTTACACTAATATATACACTATGTACACACAGATATACACTAAATAAGTGGTGATGATTTACACTAATCCAGTCTCAAAGAAACAAAAGCATGAATAACAGTTTCCAGTTCTGTTTGTGAGATAGTACTATTTGGCAATATTTCGTTAGTGATAAAAACATAAACGAACCAATGACTGAACATGACTAAAGTAAAGTAAAACCAGAATCTAAATTTGCCCAGAGGTTCCTGATGGAAGGCTTGGAATAGTCTAATCAACTAAGAGTCTAATGCACTAAGAGTTTCCTAGAGTTATATGTTTTTCTGGAGTACAAACAAGAATTTCATTTTTTTCTTCATTAAGTTAAGAAAACATTTTATCCATCCAGCTTTTTACACAGTGTAAGACGTGCAGTTTCGAACATCATGAGGCTTAAAAAAGATATAAAACTGAATATTACCTGTGTAGCAGTGATATGATAGGTCTTTAAAAGTGCTCAAAATGTGCTGACGAGGGAGCATGTAAACCAGAATTAATACGGGCCCCAAAACAGAACCCTGAGGTACACCAAAATGAATATGACTTAAGGAAGACTTGTAATTTGAAGCAGGCACGCAAAAAGAACGATCAGAAAGGTATGAAGGCAGCGTAAGGCAGATCCCAACACACTGGTCCAATACCTCAACCTGTCAAGCAAGATCTGGTGAGCAATTGTATCAAAGGCTAAAGTCGGTTCCAACATAAGGAGGACAGAACAATTCCTGTGGCACTTTGCGCCAAAACATCATTAGATAGTCTGAGAAGAGCTGTCTCAGTTAATTGTCCTTCACAGAACCCAGGTGGAAATTTATCAAGAATGCTGTTTATCGTAACTTAGTCTAGGGTGAATAACAGCATTCTTAAAGTAACACAGAACTTGACCAGAGGCCAGAGAGGAATTTACTATAGCCTGTATGCAATTAACTAAGAAACAAATAATAAGTTCTGAACCCGTGACTTAAATATGTGAGGAACAGTGTGTTTAAGACAAAGCTGAGACAAATAGTCTGGAGATATCCATGCAGTGATAGAGGAGAAAAAAAGCAGGACAGTGGGGAGTGAAGCACATGATTACAGTTAAATATAATGCTAAATAACTGAATGTTGTACATTTAGCCTCAACTGTGGGTTAGAGGCATTTGAATAATACAACAAAAACTCCTTTTGTTTACAAAGTAAACTTGCACTAGCAGTTTTGTCTTCACCATTGTTACTGAAATAAACGTGGTCTCTGCGGTTGGTGTCTTTAATAAAATTACATAACATGGTTTGCTGGGTGATAGAGATCAACATCCAAGACATCTGCGCTTCAGTTCTGGTAAGTGAAATTGTAGTATGTTGTTAGTCTGTTGATTAATACTAATAAGTCTATATTTGTGTCTGTGCTATGCACGTGTACAGTTTATGAATCAGCTTGCTATTGACGCTTCATCATCTCATTCGCATATGGTCATGTCTTGCTCAAAAACCAATAGCAACATGTCAGCAGCCAAAAAGCTAGTTGAAGCTTCAAAATGCATACTCCAAAACCAGTGGGTGACATCTGAATGTTCAAGGATAGTCTGATGAAGATAGATGAGCTAAAAGACTCCAAAACTATTGAGTTTTTTTGTAATTATGGTACCGTCTCTGATAGGAAAGTGAGACAAATAAGCAAACACGACTTACTTATTAACATGACTCCAAATAACATGTTTTAAATTTTTTTTTAAATTGTTGGGCTTCACTTTCTCACTGATCAGCCTAAAAGTAGTACATGAGTTGCTAAATGCCAGGTTTACATATAAAGCTCTTCTCTCGGTTTTAACTCTGATTTTGGCTAAAAACAAAACAAAAAACCCAACATGGGTAATTATTTTCATTAAATTTACAATAATGCTACCTTAATCTGTGGATAATCAAATGATGAGCCTGACAGTAAACACCTCACACACCACTGTCTCTCACATTTACCCACTCTGCTACGACCACCCGTGGCCAACCTGAATCCCTCCCATGAGCCGTCTGCCCTGCACACCCCACAGCCCCCGCCCCCCGTTCCCTCTCTCCAGCCAGCTCTATTATGTAATGACACCTCAGCACATAATATGACAATACCACAGATATTTCTATACAAGTGCACACAGGAAAAACAAAAACGCACACAGCATCACATGCGCACACATCACATGCGCCCTGACCCCACACTGGCAAACACAGTGATTTCAATTTGCCTGTGCAGCTAAAACAAGAGTAATGCATCATGGGGGCATGCGATGGGAGCTGTATGAATTAATCTGTTATATTACTGGAATGTCAGGTATTTAGTTTGTAATCCTAGTCCGGTATCTGCAAAGCTTTTATTGCTGAATCTTAAGTGTTTCCTTTCAGTCTTAACAGCCTTTGAGCTTGATATCAGCTATTAATGTATATTATTGCTTTTCTCCAAAAATTAACTACAGAGCAAAGTTTAAGACTTTAGTTAAGTTATCCCCCCTGTTCTCACACAAAGCTTTTTGATTCATCAACTGTATGGTTATGGTATATTTTATCATGCTGACCCAGTTTTATTTCATTGTGTCTGACAGGGGTTGTAAATCATCTTGGAAGATACACTCTCAGGGGGCTCAGCTGTCTTGACTTCGAGCATACGCTGCTAGGATCTCAGTTTATGTGCAGGTGGTTCATTCTAACTCAGAGGGAGTAAGCTTTAATCTCTCACTTTTGTCTCATTTATAGCCCTCTTTGCTTGCCATCTGTGTCTTTCTTTCCCCCCTCATGAGTGTACTGAACCTGGTGATTCCCTTTCACTCAGTGTACTTGAATAATTAAGCAGCCGTGTGGGATGGTGTCATCGCGAGCAGACTCCCGAGAACACATTCAGGCCAGAGAAACTGATGAGGATGTTATTTGCCTGTAGCTGAGCCGTGCCCCAAATATCACACACACACACACACACAATGTCATGATGAGACACACGTGCGCCCTTGAAAATTTAGTCCTGGTGTCTCTGTCTTTACGTTGTTCACAGAGATGGAGACCACAGATGGCGCGCAGAGCAACCCCTTCAACCTGGCACACCAAGGGCCCGTCACCGCTGTGATCTCTGGCGAAGCAGGGACTTCGAAATGTCTCTGATTTCCATTTCAGGATTGGGCAGGTTTATTGAGCATTCAGGCTGTTTTTTTGGTCAAGTCTGCACTAAAAAAAACCTGTGGACTTATGGTGAGTAAGAGGCTGTGTATGTAGTTGTGAAGTCAGAGAGTGACTTCACCTCACGCGAGTCGTACTGGAGTGAAATTATGGGGGAGGGGTGTTTAGAATAAGTGAATAAGCACCTCATTGTGTCGTTCCCTTCATTATGTGCACAGAGCAGAACTGGAAGGACACCATTAAATCATCAACTTGTTAAAACCAGTAACAGGATGTGGGCCCACAATTAAAACCTACACAGCAAGGGATAAGAGCCGCAGTAAGTTCATTATGTGCAATCCTATTGATGGACACACACATGCTAAATTAAGACAACACATGCTCGGAGAAGTGAAAACAACTTGAATGTGAACAGTGCTGTAATGTTAATTATGTGAAAATATACTGCGCAAACAGAATATTATAATCCAACTGAATGATTAAACAAAAAACTAATGTAGCTTTTTTGGGGAGAAAAAGAACAATTATACATATTTTGTTTGTTAAAAAAAGTGTTCTCAAAACTGTAGCGAGGTCAAGTTTCGTCCCTGTGCCCTCCACACATCCTCTTCTCGTCCTTTTCCTCTTGCCCCTCGTTTCCATCCTCCGGAGTAGAAAGAGGGGGGGAGAATAGCAGCGGTGGGGAGATGGAGGGCAAGGGCTTTTTCTGCTAAAAACTGCATGGATACAAGGGGGGGCCGAGGGGGAGGGAGGGTGGAGGCAGGGAGGGCTGTCTGTGTTGTTGTAACGTAGCATAGTCACTGTGTCAGAGACAAGCCCATCACCAAATCAGCCAGTCAGTGTGTCAGAGCGTGCGACGGGGGGGGAGCAGCGCATGCATGCATGCATACGTGCCGCATGGCATGAGAGAGAAGTCAAAACCACACCCTCCCAAAATTTGCCACTCTCATCCTGGTGTGCATGCAGTATCTAAGGATATGATGCTGGGCGAAGGAGATCGAGAGTGCAATGATGGTTAATACATGAAATTAACAGTTGTGCTCCTTGTGCAGTGTAACATCTATTTTTGCGTCTGATTTTCTGGTCATAGATTTTTCTTTGAGAATTGGTGAAATTAACAGAATCAGAACTTCCAGATTGAAATATTAAAGGATAAAAGAAGCAATGTTTTTTGAAAACAACAAAAAAGACAGATTGAAGTTAAATTAGTACACAGCTTCATAACTTTAAAGTTTTTACTTTCTCTTTATTTTGAAGTAAAACTCACATTTTGTTACATAACATTACTCCTAGCAACCTCCCAGTGTGTGTTTGGGTTATCAGAATTTTTTTCATTTTCTTTCATCACGTTCGGTGTGGGTGATGCAGCGCCGCGCCACTCAATTTTTCATTCTCACCTTTTGATTTTTTTTTTTCTAGAGGGAATTAAAAATCTCGGTGGTCGCCTGCAGAGATCAGACTTGAGCCTGTGGGTAATTGTTTTCGTGTGAAATGCAGGACCGCGCTACAGAGACCACCAACTTTTCTCTGCTAACCTCCAGAAGGTATTTACTCATTATAACACTCTCACATGAGCACACATATAAGCTAAAGTAGTGTTTGGACTCTGATGTAGCAGCTGGTTGGAGGATCAGCCAGCCCCCCTACCTCTCTCAGTCAGATTACAGAGGCTGTAGTCTCACCACCCCACTGCCCCTCCTCTTCTTCCTGCCTTCATCGTCTCCGCCTCACCCCCACTCACTCGTGCACTCACGCAGCCTTCAGAATATACAGTCTGTAAATCTGCACCCCATCGAGTCACACATCTGTTTATTAAAAGCTGCTTTCCAAATCGGGAGCTGCATAATCAAAAGAAAACAAAATAAATGCATGAAGATTTGTGTAAACAAGCACACAGGCAGTTTCATCTTTCAAAAATTGGTTTCATTTATTAAAAGTTTTTTTTTTTTATTTTTTTTTTTTATCTTTGATTGTATCAATATTTTTTTTAAAAAGGAGTGTAATATCACATAGAATTGGGTTGAGTGAAAGACAGAGTTTAGTTTAGAAAGAAAATATACTACGGGATTGAGGGAAATAAAGGAGAGGAGAGGGCAGGGGCAGACGAGTGCAGCAGAGTGGGGGAAGGGAGGCGAGGTGGAACTACAGTCAGCTTTTAAAATGTAATAAGTAGTTGTAGTAGTAGAAGAAGAAGGCAGCTGAAATAAACAAGACATTATTTCTGACCAATAAGCAGTGGTCGCTGCAGTAGAAAACACATGAAAAAGGACATAATGAAAAATAAGTGCAATTGGCTTCTCTGTCATACCACAAATGTATAAAAAAAAACAACCCAAAAACCAAAACAGGAGTGTGGTGGAAGACACCCCCAGCCTCTGATCAAGAGTCAACATCTGGCGTATTGTAGCAGGATAAGAGTGACTGAGGGTTTGTACACTCCGTACTGAGAAAAACAACAAAAACAAACAGGCAGTAACATGTTGGCTGCCGGTGGCTCTGTGTTCACGTGTGGTGCTTTTTGGAGGAGTCTAGTAATGCAAATCACCCCACCCCATTTGTAGTTATGTAAATAACATATGAACCTCTCACACCAATTCAAAAATATCAGTCCAAATATTTACAATATAGATTAATCCAGTCGGGTTACTAAGAACCCCTTCAACATTTAAATGAATGCTGTGAGTGGACTTCCAATTAAAGAGCAAGCCTTCAATGATACATGTAAATCAGCACGATGATAGCAGCGGTAGAGAGTGGTGCAAAGAAAGATTTCTTCCCTTACATTTATATTTTCACCATGTTTTCAAGTTTTCAAGAGCACCATCTTTAAGTGCCGTTCAGTCGGTTTCTCTCCTGATCAGAACCTAAAGAAAAGCCCCAAAGGAAGGCTAGACACTTAAATACTACATGACAAATAGTAGCCACTGCTGTTGGTGTGTGTATTAGTCAGAGATGCAGGCCATTCAGGTGAGCTGTAGATGTTGGGATATAAGAGCTGGATGCCATTTTTTTTTTGTTTTTGTTTTAAAGAATCACAGTTGATGATGTTGGTTTTTAAGCTGTGTGCGATTTTAGAAGAAGGGTGACTACACGTTGGCTTTCGCGTTTGACTGTGCACTGGTTTTGTGAAACACATGCAAACAATCAAAACACAGTATGAATGCACTGAGAGCACAGAATGCTTTTTTTTTTTGAAAAACACATCCTATTTGGTAAAAAAGGCACAGTAGTCCAAGAGACCAATCATAAGATTTCACGTCCTTTTTGTTTTGCCCTCCTCACGATAGCAATAAAAGCCACAAAAAAATGTCAACAGCATCTTCCCAGTCACCTCAAAAGAACTGTAGGCCAAACTATGCAAGCGCACAGCAGGTGATAAGCTGCCCAATAAATACAAACAATAAATAGATGCAGTATCAGATCAACACATGAATAAATTAACTGTGTAATTGAATCAATAGACATGTCTTTTAGTGGTCCTTGTTAACTCCATACGCTGGTCTATTAAAAGTCTCGGATTGTAATGAGACTGATTGCCAGTCGGTTTGCCGTCGGAAACATCTGATCCACGGCACGACAGGAAAAGTTATGTGACCACCGGTCGCTGCGATGTCACTCCTGCTCGATGCTGATGATCTGCCAGCCGAGTGTCCAAACAATTCTTGGATTACATTCGTGAGTTGTGATGTCATTTTTCCACCGTCTCCAATGGCTCCGACACGGCGCACACTACACCTCATTTCTCACATCACTAGCAACAAGATTTTTTTAGTTACCCCCAGTGTCGCTTTTTCCTCTTCAAACCATTCAAAAGAATGTAGAGACAAACGTGTCTTCTGCTGCAAGACTAGAATCAGCTCACTCATCAACCACATCAAAATAAACACTGGAAGGTTTTATTTTGATTACTGACATCGGCTGTTCCATTTTCGAACAGTTTCTTTCAAGTTAGATGTCTGTTGAAACAGTCACCTACATAAATATTTCTTCTTTTTGTATTGATTGCCTTCATGCTGAAGAGGAGCGATCATTTACTCCTCTAAATACTCTACAATATCTCTCGTTACCTGTACATTGCTTTTGAACCTTGACAACCACCTTTCCGCACGAGTTTCGATTATAAGTGTGATAACGGTTCTTGTTTATGTCCTGTTGTTTGAAATGTCTGTTTTAACTGTGGTCTGGATGATAGGTTATGTTTTTATCCGTCATTGTTTTCAACATCTATCACCAACAATTCTTTCCTCACTTCCTCTCATTAATGCAAGTATAATCACAGGCCTTCAGCCTCTTCCCTTCTTCCTGTCGCAGCAGCTTTTAGCCCAGTGGTGTAACAAAGCAAGGCTGCCAGTTCTTTTGCTGATTCAGTACATCAGGTCTTCAAGCTGGTGGGACACGCCCCAGGCAAAGGCTTAAGTGTAACAGGAGGAGACTGGCTCTCACCCGGAGTTGCCTCAGTGGTCCCCCTCTCACTCTGCTGTCCAGCAACAGGCTGGCTTTGGCACCGGATTGGCTTCTTCACATTTTTGGGGTGCTTGTAAGGTGTGGTGGAGGAGATGGAGCTGTCTTGTGTAGCTGGGCTCAACCTCCTGCTGGCTGTGAGGGCATCGTGTGAGAGGCAGGTATTTCGTGGGGACAGGATGGGCGCAACATGAACCCACGTGAGGCTCGGCTTAGAGCTCTGACCCGCTTGGTACTTCGACACCTTCACTGGTTCCTTGCCGTCTCCGTCTTTTCCGTCATTTTTGTCATCAGTTAGCTGACTGCTGCTGGCTGCATGTGCCAAACTCTGATTTGCATCAGCTGCTAGTGATGGGGAGGAAGAAGGTCCACCTTCTCTGCAATCAGACTTCACCCTGTTTTCTCCTGTGCTGATATGGGGGGACTTGAGAGGTATAGGGGAAGGCGTGGGAGAGTCTGTACCCGTCCAGCTGAGTCTGCGCTTCTGGAAAATAAACAGGAGAGTAATTTTCATGAATGGGAGGTTTTTGTAAAATTTGTGGTGCTGGTGGGGTGGAGAAATGTTTATGTGTATTAGCAGCAAGAAGTCAGGAATGTATGTCCTCACCTTAACGGGAATATGTAACTGATCCCTGTGTTTGTGCGGCGGGGTGGAGCCGAAAGCTTCCTGGAGGGATCGGGCAGGGGATGTGGCGACACTGGAGGCTGTAGACACAGGCTGAGTGAGAATTTGGGGAAACCAAAGTTTTAGCATCATCTCCACCTGGAGCAGAGTGTTCAGATACTTCTCCCTATGATGTAGAAAGAGGAACAAAATTTAGGTGAGGAGCAGATAGGAATACGACTTTGCTGCTCAGTAGGAGCAGGCGTGGATATTTATGATCCTGCACAGAGATCTAGGTAAAATTTCATCTGACGTTTGGTGTTTCTCTGCACTGACAGTGAAAGCTGTAACTCTACCTGCCTGAGGACTGTTCAATAAAACATCCTGCCTCACCGTGCACTGCATATCTAAGATCAACTCACAGTTTAATAAAGATAATAATTCTTAAATGCAGCTAAAACATCTCATGATGGCAGGACTTGATAAGAGTGAGAAAAAGAGGGCTGATGGATGGTGGGACAATTCGGATGACATCCTACCCGCAGTCAGGTCTCTGTAAAACCCCCACAATCCTCTGGATACGATCCATCGCCACGCTCTGCTGGAAACTACTCAAGCCTGTCAATCAAAAGAACATAATCCTTCAGTCAGCATTCGCACTGAATGAATGCATATGTGGGCATGCACGGTCTCACACATGCACACACGCTCTAACTCATGATATCGGTAAACTCTTGCAAGCTACTGAGTCAGCGAGAAGACTCGCTTCACACATACACACACACACACACACACACACACACACACACACACACACACACACACACACACACACACACACACACACACACACACACAGCACTGTGGACTGCATCGATAGGCTACATCAATACAGACTACTGCTTGAAGGAAAACTTACTATTTCAATGGACTGAGGCCACTTAGATCATGTAAACCTGTGTTCAGCCTCAACAACTGCAGAAGCCAGCGAGCGCACACACACACTTGCCTCCCAGAAGACGGTGAAGAAAGGATGCTTACCCCGGTCGAATCGGCCCCTCTTCAGTCCATTCAGCAGCTCTAGCAGGGGCCTGATGAAACCCTGCAGCTCAGCACACTGACAGAGGAGGAGGGAAGACAGATTACGAGTTGGTTTTGGTTAGGCTCGGCTGTCTGAGGCTATCTGCTGGGCTTTCCTTTGCACGCACACTGCTATGTCAGCCCTCTTCTCATCACTCTCCTTTTCTGCCCATCACCTTTCTTACCTTCTGAGCAAACAGCAGATCTCCTTGTGATTTTGCAGTCTGCCTCGCCGGATCAGTCTTCCCCAGGCTGACGTGAGCCGCTTTGCCGCCACTCTGTGACCTGTAAGAGTCCTCCTCTTCCTCTTTGTCGGTGAAGCCGTCACACGTCCACTGTGACCCGGGACTGTCTGACCCCCCATTTCCACTTGCTGACGCGCCGCCCGACCCCCCGATGATGACAGATGGAGAGCTGTCTGTCAGGAAGACGTCTGTGTCGTCCTCTGCCTGCTCTGAATCGCTGAACAAGAGGCTGTCACTGGAGCTCAGGGAATCAAAGGAGGGCTGAGAGGAGGTGCTGCCCTGCGACTGCATCCCTATCGGGACAGAAAGAAAGCTCAAAGATTAGGATGACGGAAAGAAACACAAGTGTGGCTTAAGGGAACATTGAAAACCAACACGTCTGAAGTGAGAGGAAGTTCAGTTCTTAGCATTTGGCAATACTCCATTTTCCTACCTCGCTACCAAAAATTATAACCCCTATTACTCAAAATGGTGGGTATAGCACTGCCCTAGTTTGGGACTGGGGGTAGGCAGTAGGCACACAATAGTAGTGCATGTCTGGCTTCCATTGAGGAGATTGGAGGCTGTAGGAGAGTAAAATGTGTGAGGGGGATGGGAGCTTGTAGAGTAGTGAAATCGGAATAGGCCTGCTCTCTCTCTTTGCCACAGCCTCCAGTGCTCTCTCTAGCCCCTCCTCTC